TTATTTCTGAAACAGTATGGAGCTCAAATGCTTCTTCTCTCTCAGGTTTACCACAAGGTGAGTTCACAGATTCTCTCCAGTACAGGTTAGCTCTGAGTGTTAGCGACGCTTGCTAATGTAAACACAGACCATATTACGTCCCAAACACGTTGCACATTGTTTCTGATAGGGCCGTGGGCGTAGGGCGTAAATCCAGCCCACATTTCTGATATTACGTCATATCCGCAGCAAATCTGGATCAGCTCCGTTGTTCCCCCGTTTTGAGAGATTTGGGTACGGAGGAAAAGAGAGAGGGTTGTGTTTTCTGACACTTTGTGAGTTCCCTGAACCACCGGGGACACATGTTGATGTATAAAAGACATCACAAAGTGCACTTTGCATGATAGGAGACTTTAAAGTAAGAAGGACTCACTTTTCCGTCGTCTCCTCCTGTAGCGATGTACTGTCCGTCTGGAGAGTAGGCCAGCGAGGACATGTTGTTGAAGTGTCCCTGCTGCTTGAAGACGTACGACTCGCTCTGCCACTCCCACACCAGCAGCTGACCCATCCCTGAAACAACAAACCGTATCTTTTTAGAAGTCAGGTACTTTCTGAGTTAAGAAAGTATTCAAAGAAAGAGGTTCTTACCTGAGCAACCGAAGCCGATCCAGTCTCCAGAGCTGTTTATAGACACTGAGGCGATTCTCTGGTCGGAAATACTGCAAGAAGAAGCGTAAGAAAATATATCACATCTTTGGTCTGGGATGTGTCGTTGCTGCAGACATACACAAAACAACTTGTGTCTCACCTCAGGGAGTGGATAAGGTTGAACTCTGGAAGCTCGTGCAGGTGGAAAATCCCCGAGGCGAAACCTGTGACCAGGATGTGGGTCTGCTTGTGATAGGTGACAGCCGTCAAGTTGTTAAAATCCCCCTCCTTGTTGAAAAAGTGCCTGCAAGAGGAAAAGGTGAAGTTTGAGAAGTTTGAAAAGTATTTAAGGAGGAGAAAAAAGGACTCCAACACGTTAGCTCTGAGCTAAAGCACATGCTCATGTAAATGGCTGATGCTGCGGCTATAGCTTAGAGCAGCCAAAGGACGATGAACCGGCTCTTGGCACAGAGCCAGACGCCTAATGGAGAGCAGCAGGACTGGCACATTGTGAACCTTACAGTGTTTGGAAGGACTTCTGCCTGTGAACAACTGTTAAGGCTATTTTCCATCAAAATAATAAAAGGAAAACAAGAAGCGTCTTACTTGCTCATCTGCCTGAATCGAACGTTTTTGGTCTCCCCTTTGTCTTTTGGAGCCTCGGCTTTCCCTCTGATGACCTCTCCTTCCTGTCCCTCCACCCTGTCCTCCTCCTCCTCCTCATCTTCCTCCTCCTCTTCCTTTGGAGGCTTGGGTTTGTCCCGTTTCTTTGTGAGGACAAGGCCGTCCAGCTCCGTGTCACTCTCCCACACACACAGTGTCCCGTCCTGGCTCACCGTGTACAGCTGACAACAAAGGGACACTTTTAAGGTCTATTCTTCATGCAAAACAACATGTCCTTACAGCTGAAGTCACAAAGGACAAGAGAGTGGACATAAACTCACATCCAGGCTGTCCTTCTCAAAGAAACACCCCACGATGACGTCCTTATGTCCCCCGAGGGAGTAGTAGATGAGGTTGGCCCAGCGCTCTGCACCGAACACCCACGTGGACATGTCTTTGCTGCCCACTACAAAACATCTAAAGGGAAATGTTACAACAATGAGACATTTGGTTTTCCGCAGCTTTTTGAATGCTTTAAGGCTGATAAACGTTGACTCACTTGGAGTCGTCCGTCCAGTCGATGCAGGTGGTTTCATCGTAGGGACCGTAGTAACTCTTGTCCAACACAAAGGCATTAAACTCACGCTGCTTTCCAGGAGCGTGGTACATCAGAGCTACGTTTTCCTTTGTGACAACAAACTTCCTGTAAGGGAACAAACACGTTCAAACTCAGCATTATTTATGTTTGACTTCAGGTGACTGTATCAAAACAATATTGCAGAAATACATTTTAAGTAAGCAGTAACTAAGGAACTAGATAGTCCATAATGTAAAAAAGCTTTAAACATATCCGGTATCTTTTGGAACATTTCGACCGATTCTGGCACTGGTCACATATCTGATTCCAACATTTACTGATAACAGTGCAACAAATGAGACATTGTAAGTCCATACACTTGTTTTTCATGTGTTTGGTGCATATAGGTGCAACAATTAATATTATAAAAACTTGAATTACTGTTTTTGTGATTCTCTCACCAATAATAGCTGACATTAAATGTTATCTTACAGTACATTAAATATCTTTTAGATTTTGCACTGGTGGTCAAGGAAAAGTAACGTGAAGATTTCACTTTAGGACCTGGTGAGAAACATTTTAAAATATATTTCATGAATGAAGTTCATCCTGACCTGCCATCAGGTGAGAAGCGGATGCTGCTGACGGGCTTGTGGAAGTGGAAATGATGAAGGATGGCTCGGGTGATGAGACTGACCAACACTGCTGCTCCATCTGTGTGACACAAACATAGAGACATGTTTCCCCCTGCAACAGCACATCGACTGGAGTTCAAACATAAGAAACAGACAGAAAGTCATACCTTCATCCACAACGATTGCTATGTTCCCATCAGGGGAGAGACCCACACATGTGATGTTTTTGACAGTGGAGATGGGTAATGTCTCAGATGTGTTGCTAAAGGAGAAATTGTGACATCAGTTAGTTCAAGTATCATTTCAATTTGTCTCGTCTCGAACCTAGATATGCAGGCAGGGCTTCACAGAATCACGTCTGTTTTTAACCATTACTTACTTTTTCAAGTCGAAGACTGAGATTCTGTTTCCAACCGGACTGATCACAGCGTTGCCATCTTTAGAGAAACTCAAATTTCCCTGACGATAGACCGCTCCGAGCAGATTGGAAAACTACAATAAAGACAGTGTTTTTCTTTTAGAAATCACTTAAAATTCTCATTTGCTGGTATGAATTGAACTTCATCCCGAACTCAATTCACACATGTGGGAAGTTAACAACGTCTATTAGTGAAAACGGTTAGAGAAAAGTGTTTTTAAAAACAATAAAATGCGGTTTTCTATAATATCCGTCAGCCGAATATAAGTGTGAATACTAACACAATATATCGTACATTTGTTTATGTAGTTCTCACTCTTTTCCTTAACATATATACAATAACATATTAAATTGCACACATTTTGAGTGAAGTCTGGTGTGACGTTTTCTCCCGTACAGTAAGGTTAGTTGCAGAAAGATGCTCCAAGCAAGCAGTCGCGTACTTACCCTATAAGAAAACTTCATTTTGGTAACTGTTCACGCACTTATGTTTAATTCTTTGTATTTCTCCGTATTATGGTAAATGTAAGGCTAATGTTGCACATGCTTCTTCCTCTACCACTCCACACGTGTGAGCATTTTGTTGACACTTGACACATCCGGTCTGAGGCGAGTTAAATTTAAACCACTGCGCCCTCTAGCGGCAGGGAGGGGAAACGAGTGGAAATAAACTATATCAGTAATAATACTCCTCCGATGTATTATAGATATATTTCATTAAATAAACATACATTATAGGGTATATCTATGTATTGTTTAGTACAGTATTACAATAAATTGAGATAGGCAAGACACTATAATTAGGGTCTAACAAGTTGTTTAGTGTCAAAAATGCTTGTCTCAAAAACGTTGTTAAGTATATTTAATGAACTAACGCATATTAACATATAAAAGTCATTTAAAATGAACCACAATACCGTAAGGAAACAATTACACATTTCCATTTGAAGAAGAGATATTATAAATGTTTGCTTTGCAAATAACCAGAGGTGGGAGAAGTATTCAGATCGTGAACCTAGTAGGCTACCAGACTTTAGGAATACTCTGTTACAAGTAAAAGTCCGGCAACCAAAATGTTTCTCAAATAAAAGTACAAAAGTATTAACATTGAAATATTAAAAAAAGTACTCTTTAAGCAGATTGATCAATTTCAGAATGATATATATATGTTTTTAATATAATTATCATATCATTAATGTGTTCTCAAAGCTGGTAAAGGTGCAGCTAGTTTGAATGACCTGTATACTGCAGGGTAGCTTGTGAATTTACTCCAGGTGGAACTGAAGTCTGATTTAACAGTTGGTTATATTTCACGTCATTTATCCACATCTGTAAAGTAACTAAAGGTAATAAATGAACGTAGTGGAGTAAAAGAACAAAGTAGCATCAAATGGAAATACTCAAGTAAAGTACAAGTATCTCAGAATTGTACTGTTATTTACCCCACTGCAAGTCACTTCACTTCAGTGGAAAGAACCATTAGTTTTGATGTACAGCATAAAACATTATTAGACACAGTGGAAGCACAAAGTCCTGCTCAAAAGAAATGAAACACTTGGAAAAGTACAATACCAGGCAGGTGCTCTTCACACGATCCCTCCTGCAGTTCAACCTGAAACTCCCACTAAATAATTTAGCATCTGGCAGCAACAGTAAACACACAGCACAGGCAGAAATGGGTTGATGTCAATGATACAACAAAAATCCATACTGTGCATTTTACAATGCAAAATGATACTTAAGTAACAACTTAAATTAAGCCAATTTGTTAACTTAGCTTCAGGAGCAGGCCTCAACCCCATCTCTAATCATGGCTTAGTCTATACCCAAACATCCGGCCATCGCTTGTCTCCATTCTCTCAACCCGCCCTCCCTCTCCCTTACTCATACATTTCCCTTCCTACCTCATACTTAGCCAAACCCCTTCCTCCCTCCACCCATCGACCCCCTTCATCGATTCATCCCCACATCCATACAGCCCTCAATCCTTACATCCCATCATCCACCAATCCCTTCATCCCTCCATCCCTTACTCCCTCCTTTCCCCCATCCCTTCATCCCTTCCTCCCTTCATCCCTTCATGCTGACATCCCTTATCCTTTCATCCTTTCATCCCTCCATCCCTCCATCCCTTCATCCCTTCATGCTGACATCCCTTATCCTTTCATCCCTCCATCCCTTCATCCCTTCCTCCCTCCTTTCCCCCATCCCTTCATGCTGACATCCCTTATCCCTTCATCTC